TTAAAAGTATCGAAAAAATGTGAGAAATACAGTGGACCCTCTACTTAAGGAATTAATCCGTATTGGAATGGTGGCTGCAAGTCAAAAAGTCTGTAAGTCGAATCTCCATTGACCTACAATGCACTGAAAACCGATTAATCCCATAACCAGTGGTTTTTATTCTATTTTTATTCCATTTTGGTTTTTTTCTGGTCTGTAAGTCGATTCTCTGGCTGCAAGTCGAATCTAAATTTTGCAGCCAGAGAAGTCTGTAATTCAAAAAGTCTGTAAGTTGAGCCGTCTGTAAGTCGAGAGTCCACTGTAACACAAGTGATAGCCAAGTTGACACAAAACACGTTCCATATTGAGGTGACACCTTTATAGGCCAACCACAAATGTAGAAAGAGGTGTACACAAAAATCTACACACACTGTCAAGAGTATACTCTGCTCATCAGACAAGTTTTTAAAGGTAATGAGAGGAGGCTGGCGCTGGGGAAAGACTGATCTGAAGCCCTTGTTGTCTGCATGTAGTTTCAGGATATAATGAGGAAGGAATACAGCAAACAAAGAAATTAGTCATCAGATGATACAGTGGTATTAGATTTCACTTGGATGTACCCTACAGAATCACTGAGAACTGGAAAGTTTACAAAATGTAACTGGTCCATCTTAGACCCTGAAGAAGTGTCCTTTCATAAACTCAAAGCTGCGTCCCTCATGTCCAGGCACACAGCTTCTCAGTTGCTGGAAAACAGGAGGCTACTAGGAGCCTTCACATTGCCCATGATGGATTTAATTTCAAAACACGTGTTAGTTACAAGCAGTTCACATAAAGTAGTGCGCTTTGTGTAGCCTTACCTACTTTGCTTGGACATGATCAGTGAGCAAGAATGTAAATGCCCATCCTTCTAATATGCCACTGGATTTACCTTGGATCTGATGTACATTTTTATGCCGCCATTCTCCCAGTTAAGGGACCCAAGGAAGCTCACAAGTTATTTTAAAAAACAAATAAAAAATTAACCAAAACCGCAATTACAACACTAGAAAACTAAACAGTAAAGACACATTAAAACACACAAACTAATAATAACAATCCTCCCACTGTAAACAGGGAAAGAAAGACTGTAGAAGGAGGGCCACTCCTTCTACCTCTACCTCCTACCTCTCTTCCAATGAGGTAGACCAGTGGTCCCCAACCTTGGGCCTCCAGCTGTTCTTGGACTACAACTCCCAGAAGCCTACACCACCACCTCTTCTGGCCAGGATTTCTGGGAGTTGAAGTCCAAGAACATCTGGAGGCCCAAGGTTGGGGACCACTGAGGTAGACAATAGATAATGGAAGCTTGTGCCAAACATCCAGTTTCTGATCTCTAAAGCAGAGCTAGATTGTTATTGTTTCCAGATTTATGAGCAGAACCTACGTTGCAGGAAAACAAAATCTGAAGTGGGATGTCTATATGCCGTGGTCTCTCCCTGCTGGGCTCCAACAGGAGGGCCTAGGAATAAAAGAAATTGTCACCCAGAGTTACTTCTTGATGTTTTCTCTGCTGTAATGCTTTCACTTTAGGAAAGCTTACCTTTGTAATCAGGTATCTTTTTTAAAAAAGCAGCTTAGGCTGAAGTTAATAAAACATTATCTCACCACGGTTAACTCCCATGGTGTGTCATCTACTCATGTTCTCCTTCAGCAGTCTTATCAGGGAGGAGAGCAGAGAGAGCAAGGCAGCTCAAGGTCACTCAAGAAGCTCTGTAGCCAAGCGGGATTCAATACCCATCTCCCTGGGTCTTCCCACATCAGTTGCAACGACTACACACTGCTGGCTTTCTGTTGGCTTGTTGGTCCCAAAGGACTCTCAGATTTTCCAACAAAATTAGAGCAGGCAAGCCATGTTGCTTTTGCTTCCCTGCAAAAAGCCATTTCTGTCAATAGTGGCTCCTGAGTTAACAAAATACATGTCAGCACGGCCAGGCCTACCATAAGGCGGAGGCTGAAATCCAGGAGTAAGATGCAGCTAGAGTCAGTCCATTGAATCAGTGGAGCTTAGATGAGTCAACACCTATTTAAATTCTGTTGATTCAGTAGGCCTACTCTAGTTGTGACCTATTATGGATTTCAGCCAGAATGAGGCAGCTGCCTTGTGCAGCAGATCTGAGGTGTCATGAAAGGGTAGCAAATTCTTAACTTGGCTTAAGATGTTGCTCTTTTATGCTTTCTACCAAGGATGAGAAGAGGCACCTGTGGGATTTTCTGTCCCAGATGCCAAGTACTGTATGTTTGTTAGCTTTGGGTATTGGTGGTCCTTTGCTGTTCTGCCTCATATCTTGGGTTAGCCCTGAGTATCCGGTAACTATGAAGCAGAGCTTTGAAATATTACTTCTTCTTTTTACTACAACTCAAAGAATTTCCCCAACGGGCATGAATCATCAGATTTTGACCAGTCACTTTGGGTCAAAAGATGTGCCTTTAGGAGTTGTTGTCCAGAAATTAAGGCTTCTTAAGGTCTGCTCCGCATATATTTAAACATCACTTTTTCACTGTTATTTTTAGGAATCTGATCCATTAAAGACTTATTGGATGCATGTCTAGCTAATTTCAATGTCAAAACAGGAGTAGTTGTTGACTCTGGGTTCACAATGGCAGAGACTCTTTTCTGGGTTTTAGCTTGAATTCTATCCCAAAAGCTCCTGTACATTTTTTTAACTAAACGGCAGATCAGACAAACCTGAAGTCATTGACTTTTGACCAGTCACTTTGGTCAGAGGATGGGGTATCTCCCATCCTGTCCTATCTATTTCCGTCCCTATATCTAACAAAAGTCCAAAGAATACAAATCAGCACTGCTGGAATCAGTCTGAGGATAAGAGTTTGCAAAGTTCAGCTTTCTGTTAGGCGAAGATCAAGTACCCAGCCAAAAACTCTTCTCTGGATTTTTGGCTACGTAAACATCCATTTCCTATAGACAAGGGTGCATTTTATCCCCTTATTTGTTCAGCCTGTGCACAGAAGATATCATATAGAAAGCCTGACTGGATTCAGAAAATGAGTGGAAGAAACAATAGTTTCAGATATGCAGATTACACCATTTTACTGGCAGAAAGCAGCAATGACTTGAAATGACTGTGAGGGAAAGTGAAAGAAGAAAGTGCCAAAGCAAGATTTCAATTGAACAAGAAGAAGACAAAAATAATGACTATGGAAGAACGACATAACTTTAATATTAACAATGAACAACTTGAAATGGTTAGGAATTTTGTATACCTGAGTTCAAGCATCGATCCAAGTGAAAATTGCAGCAAAGAAATCAGAAGAAGACTGGGACGATGAAGGGTAATGAAGGAATTAGAAACAATTAGCAAGGGTAAGGATCTGTTGCTGGAGACCAAGGCTATCCACACTCTTGTATTCCCAACCACCATGCATGGGTGTGAAAGCTGGACAGTAAAGAAAGCTGATGGGGGGAAAATATTAGCTTGAAATACGGTGCTGGAGGAGAGCTTTGCAGATACCCAGGACTGGCAGAAAGACAAACAAGTGGATCCTAGATCAAATCAAGCCTGAACCATCTCTGGAGGCAAAACAAACCCAGAGAGGTGAAACTAAGGCTATCCAACCGTGAACACATCATGAGGATTCCCTGGAAAAGAGAACAATGCTGAGAAAAGTGGAAGACCAAATATGAGATTAATGGACTCCCTAAAAGAGCTCGTGGGTTTAAGTCTGCAAGAGCTGAGCAGGGCTGAGGACAGGACCTTTCGGAAAGAAGCACTCATTCATAGGGTCACCATGAGTCGGAGATGACTTGACAGCATAGAAAAAAAAAACCACACCCTATCAGTTACCCACATCTCCGTCCCACAGATTCCTGCTGCTCTTCTGGTGTATGTATTTGGCATTAAATTGGTCCTGTCCTCATGGCAGTTTTTTTTCCCCCTATAAAAAGCTGTGTGGCGGGAATAGGAATCACAGAGGAGAAAGCTGGATCGCTTTGCTCATCTCCCAGAGGCCAGGCCATAGTGTTGAGTCTGGAAAAACTGCAGTAACTGCCTTATTAACTCTAGCAGTGACTCATCTTGCAGGTTTTATTATAAATGAATGACACCCTAAAATAATTGGGACTAAGTTACCTGAAAGGCCACCTTCCCCTGTGCAGATCCACAAGCAGGCCACCAATATCTTCAGAGTGGATCCGAAATGGTTGTTTCACAACCTGCCAGCTGCCACCTATTAGCAACGTGGAAATGGAGCCTCTTTTAGGGGGCACCACTCTTTTGAAACACTCCCCTTGTATTATGCAAGAGGCATCAAGAGCCCTATGCTTTTGACACCAATGGTAAAAGGCGAGACAGAATGTTCTATTTTGCAGGGCAGATTGAGTTATTTAACCCCTTCCCCTCCTGCCCTTTTGCATGGATACCAAGGATTCCAGAGTGCCTTCGCCCTGAGTGGGCAGTTATAACCTATTAGCTTTACAAAAGCCCTGCCCTGGTGATATGACAGGTATTGTTCATACACACTGATACCTGCATTCTTGACCTTGGGCTGTCATGAGGAGTGCCTGTGCTTCAAAATTTTAACAGTCCACATTTAAACGAACATGTCTTTTTTTCACAGGCATTGACATCCCAGTCAGTAACCTCTGGATCTTACTCCCTTAGAGCTTAACTGTTTCAGATGTCAGACTTGCACCTGCTGTGGTGGGTTTGTCAGTTTTGTCTTTCGTAGAGGTGCTTACAGTTCTTGGATAGTAAGCAATCAAACAATAAATAAATTATAACGGACTCTTACGACACATGCTGAAACTTGGTGCTGGACACTGGCTGAATAGATTTCACAAGGGCCATTGCAAATGCTCAAAACTCTCCTCTGTTGTGGTTTGCAAGCAAATTATCACCGCTGGAAATTCTGCCTGTGGATCAGCCTCATTCATTTGCTAGCAGGACCATTTCAAGTTACATGAATTGAGATTTTGCTTAAACATTAGCAAGGACAGGGTGGTGATAAGAGCTTTCTTAACCATGGAAGGACAACACGAGCAGGTGGTGACCTCTCCTTCAGTGGAGGTGTCTGCAGAGAGGTTAGATGGCCATCTGCCAGGGATGGCGTTAGCTGTGGGTTTCCTGCTGTGGTGGTGGTGGGGGGGGGGGGGGTTTCACCTTGACAACCCTTGGGGTCCCTCCCTTCCAGCTGTACAACTCTGACTCACAAGTCAGCACATCAAGAAACACCAACATCAGGGACTATTGAGAAAAGATTCTAAATCACTGGCTCAAACCACTTTGCATGAGAGGTGGTCGTTGTGGCTGCCGCTTTGCACAAGAGTTATTGTCATCTTCTTCAGTTTGGATGCTCGGGGGTCAGACCGAGGAGGCACAGATGTTCAACCTCTGCCCAAATACCTGATTCCGTGCCTTAAACCGTGACTCAAAAACACATCCATAGGTTTCCGGCCCCGCAGATAAAAGCAGCTGGAGGGGAGGGGTGGACCGTATAACGAGGGCTATAGCGGCAAAAGTCAGACGCCCTCACGCTCATAGCCTGGAAACAACACCAGCCCCTCCTTGCGGCTCCGTTTTAAGGACCGGAAAGAACCGCATGATTCTCACCACCGGAACTTTCTCGTTTGCACCAGCCGGAGCGCCCTCACTTTCTTGTTTCACGAATCTCCCAACTTTTTTTCCAAGTTGAACGGTTGAGCCAGAACTCGGAAACGTCACTGATTGGAGGCTACCAGAATTCCCAGCCGCCATTGGCTCCCGGCTAGGGGATTCTGGGCGTTGTAGTCCCCCAAAGGAACTGCCTCAGTGCTCTGCCTCTATAAGTGCTGTGGACCTCACAGCGGCCCTCTCCTGCTCCCTCTCCCTCTCCCTCCAGCCGCTCTCGCCTGCCTGCCTGCCTGCCTGCCTGCCTCTCTCTCTCTC